TGATGAAGGTTCATTCGATGATCGGATGTGAAGACAAATGAGCGGCAATTGCCAGTTATTCCTTCCTCACTGGTCTTTTCTTCCCTTTCGACACGGTAAAGAGGAGGGGCGGACCAGCGAGAGAGGTGCAATATTCATGAGTCCCCGCCCATCCGATCATCGCGGAACGTGTCGTCATACATGCATATTGGATGCACTGCACTGTGATATGGAACTCACATTTTCAGAATTCCCTACATCGCGTCTAGAAATGAACAAGGTAGCGGATCTTTTCGACAAAGGGGATGGTCTGATCAACTCGAAAGAGTTCATTGATGCGCTTCGTTTTGATCGAAGTGTAAGTCTGTTTCCTTTATTTCCATTGCAGACCGTAATTCGTGAGAAAGTATAAGGCAGCTCGCGGAAAAGCTCGGTCTCACGCAAAGAAGAAAGTTCCTAGATAAAGGATGAAGACTCAAGTCTCCGCCGTCGAAAATCTTTTTTGGGGTGCGGCGAGCATTCTACTTCCATTCAGGATCGTGGTGGCTTATTGGATGGGGTGCGGCTTATACGAGTGTTTTGCAGGGGCCTGCTGATTAGAAGTCACTGTTCTTATCCTCCCAGACGAGTCTGGTACAAACTTCCCGTTACCTTAGGGGAGAAAGCCTGGTTGGCCTGAACGGGAGCCGATCCGGGATTTGACCCCCGGACAGCGCGCGTGGTAAGCGGGGGCCCACTTGGAACTACGCCATCACCGCCCCATAAGCCACTACGATTTTTGGGAGTTGAATGCAAGCCGCATCCCGAAAGGAATTAGCGAAAGCTTATCCTTTTATCCTTCAAGGGCAAGATCTCGTTATTACTTACTGTAAATTTCACCTTTCTTTTCAAAACATCTTAATATTAAGCTCATTCTTTCCAGCGTGAACTGAAACCTCTGACTGACCACGAGAAAGTGAACGAGGAGATCACCAAGCAGAAGAACGCTTGTAGTTGCTGTCAACAGTTCAAAATCGAAAAGGTCGCTGATGGTCACTATAGGGTGCGTTATTTTTTGTAATCATTCCGTTCCTTAATCCTTTAATTTATCAATAACGGCAAAGTAATATACAGATTATGGATGACAACGACCAACAAAACAAATCAATGCGCGAATCGGTACGTACCTACCGATCGACCTGTAATGGTACGCAGTAGGAGGCGGTTGGAAGCCCTTGGATGATTCCTTCCAAACAATGATCCACGCAGGCTAAATGCTTCGCAAACGTGTCTGGCATTTTCAGTTCTAATTTCCACGATTTCCAAACCAAAGCTCCTCTGATTTTGGTCAAAATTCAGACTTTGTTAGCAATTGCACATACACTACACGCCTAGCTCGCAAAGCCCGCACCAAACAGCCAAGCCCTTTATACTAGCCTTCTGCTTTTAACTGATTATCCCAAACAGAGCTTATATGCAACAACTACGCATGGCCCGTCTTTTTTTCTTTTGAAAATAGATTGACAAAAGCAAAATTTATTCGCTTTCCCGCTTCGCCTTTTTCACATCTTCTTCTCACCCAGAAGTAACTAATGGCGCGCAATAGCTTCTCGAACACATGAAGTTCCGCCCCTTGAGCAACAGCACTTCGCCCACTTTTGCGAAGTTTTGATTTCCAATTTTTTTGGGAAGTTACAGGGAGTCCCTCTCATTATTAGGATCTCCGCCCACATCGTAGAAACCCCGTCCACACTCGCAAAATGGCTAAAATAAGCAGACTAGATCTCGTCCTTGTAGATCGGAGTTGCGGTCGTCCGAAAAACTCGCCTTTTTTTTGTTCCGTGTGATGCGCGAGACTGTGATCTACTAAGAGTTTAACCTGCTAATGTGAGGCTTTTTGCAAGTGTGGGTGGGGTTTCTAAGAGGGCTGGGTTTCCGATTGTAGGCGGGGAGTGGCGTACGAGACTGAGCAGTCGAAATTTCAGGCATTTCGGACACCTTTAGTATTCTCCAAAGCCAAGGTTGCCACTGGAAAAATTGAGATTCTGGGATAGTAATAACTGAACCTTATAATAATATTCACAGTGAAGAACGATGTTAGCACTACGATGTGTTTGGATATTTTGATCAGCCCCTGTAGGGCCATTTTCATTTCGTGAATTTAATTGGGCTTTATTCGCTGCCTATTTTCATGCGTTCCACATTCTCTATGGTCGGAATCTTGTAAGAATAAGAAGAATAGTAAAAGGATTTGCTGTTCCAGGTCGTCTTAACATTGACATGTTCTACAAAGATGTCACACCAAGTACCGCCATCGACACGATGCGAGCGTTCACTAAAGGACGACACAGCAGGAGCTCACCGCATCAGGCTGTAAGTTTTTGCCCCCCCCCCCTAAAGGTGGTGACGACGAAGGAAAACACCTATACCGAGCTATTACCTAAAGGGGAAATATCAGCACCGATACTTGCAGGCCACACTCGGACCTATAATGAAGGTGCGCGAGAAGACCGAGAGAAGTATGCCCATGTTCCCCCACCGATCAGACCACCACGACACCGAACTGGGTAAGGCAGCCTCATGATGACGTCAAATTGTTCATCAAGTTTCGTTTTTTCGGTTTTTCAGAGTCAAGTAGTCGAGGACTGTTGACGGCCAGTCGAGATTCATTAGCTACACCAACTTCTCGATCCCATTCCCGTGCCTCGGATTCGACGATGGACGAGAAACCGACCCGAATCCCGTCCCTTCGCATCCAGAAGGGTACCCGCAGCAGTACCCCTAGGTCGTAATCACGGACAGAAAGTGCCCTTCTTTTTCACTTTCTCTTCTTCTCTGCTCTGCTTTTTTTTTCTTCCGGTATCCCATGTGATATGTTATGTGTCGAGTTTTCTTCTGCCGGTTCATTTTTGTGTTTTCGTTGCTTAATGGCTTTTATCTCAACAAGAAGTCTCTCATTTACTTTAATTTATATAACATTGTTGTTTGTTATTTGAAGTGCTCATTAATAAATTATGAACTGAATACCAAGGGGTGGCAAGGTAATACAACGCATACTCGGAGGTGGAGGAGGCGGGGCTGCGTACGTGTGCGTTGCATGTGTTTTTCGTGGAACATTTCCCCTTGTTACAGCTGTTATCTAACCTGCGTTGAGCTGAACAAGGCCATGATCACAATTGTCTCGAAATGGCAGTATCCTCTCTATATATATAAAGCAGAAGTTGCATGTGTTTGTGTGTGTGTGTGTATGTATGCTTGCGTGTTCGCAACGAAAAGTCAGACTACCGTGAAAAAGGGTTTTGGGGGGGGGGGAACAAAAAGTTGAGAGACCAGGTCGACTTCAGAGTGGGGGGGCACAGGCCAAAATCTACCGAACACTCAGAATCGAAGGTAAGCTCCGCCCATAGTGGGCGGAGCGTGCACTGAAGTGGGCGGCGCCTAAGATAAAAATTCGCAAAAAGCCTCCAGAAGACCGCAGGGACAGGGAATAATAGTGTTATGGTCAGCAACAGGTCGGAAGACCAAGCAAGGACAAAATGTAGGGAGTGATACTCGCGGTGGGCGGGGAGAGCCCAGTGGGCGGTGCAAGGCCCAAGAATCTATAACTGCGGTGCAAGGCCCAAAAAGCAAAAATCTCTAACTGTAATTATGAGGAATCGACTTCCGAATGGGGAGGGAGGGCACAGACCAAAACGTACCGAATACCTAGAATTGAAATTGAGCTCCGCCCATAATGGGGGGCCTGCACTGAAGTGGACGGTGCCTAAGATAAGTTCGTAAAAAGCCTCCAGAAGACCCAGGGATAGGGAATAGGGTGTTACGGTCAGCATCAGGTCGGCAGACCAAGCAAGGACAAAATATTGGGAGTGACTCGCAGTGGGCGGGGAGAGCCTAATGGGCAGTGTAAGGCCCAAAAATCTATATTTAATGATACGGAACAGAGCGGGAAACTGCGCTCGAATAAAGTTGGGCAGCCGGTGAAATGGGAAGGCCTACCCGAAGTGTGCGGGACGTTCGTCCGGGTGGGCGGGGCTAAACTTGGAATTTCGCAATTCGGACTCAGAGCAGCCGGGAAAAAGGGAAAAACTGGCTTGAGTAAGATGTGAGCTAACGAGACGGCATATCGGAAGGGGGAGCTGCGTTTGTCCGGGTTGGCTGGGCTAAACCTGGAACTTCCAAACTGGGGCCCAGAGCAGCCCGGAAAGCGGGTGAACTAGCTCGAGTCAGATGAGCGCTGGCAGTTGAAGAGGAAACTGAATACCTGTAGTGGGCGGGACGTTCACCTGGATGGCCAGGCGAGCTTAGAATTCCGCAGTTCGAAAGCAGAACAGATATAGGTTGGGAAAACGGGCTCGAATATGAAGTGGGCAGGCAGGTGAAGTGGAGAAGGCACCTGGGATGGGCCTTTCCATGGAAGTGCGGTGAAAAAACCTCTCAAACTACAGAATTACAGAACTTCTCAAAATTGGTTCAATTAACTGTAACAAAGAATTCGATTTTTTTTATCACTAAGGGATTCCCCAAACGACTTGCTTTATATGAATTGCAGATTATGTATATTTGACGTGTGAGATAAATGTGACCTTATTTAGAAGGTAAGCGATCCAAACACAGTGAAGCACCGAGGTGCGCTAATCATATAGAGGTCTCGCTACTCAGCATCGACATCGCCGAGGTAGTGTGTACGAATACCGGAGGATACGTTCATATCCCAGAGTAGAGCTGGCTTGACCTTCGTTCACAGCCGCTTCTCAGCCAGTTAAGACGCGGAGTCGCGCTACACAGCCTCCCCCATAAGATTGTCCATGGGCAAGGGAGGTATTACAGCAAGCCGATTTTCGGTTCTCAATTCAATCACACAGGAAGCGTGTGGAAAGAAAAGAAGCCCAGTCCTAACACAGCTACACAATCGCTGAACACCATAAACCAATTGCGCACGATTTTCTAGACCTAACTACAAAAAATCCCTTAATCTGTTCTGAAACCAAACATCACACAATAGCATTACACATATCCATTCACAGCAAATTCTCACTAATCCAGACCCTACAATATAACTTTCACGGAACTGAATTCTAGGGGGGTATATACAAGAAATGAAACGGTA